CAGGGTGGGCGGTGGGGAGCACAGGGTGGGCCTGGTCCGGAGCACGGGGCGGCCCTGCCTCTAGTTCGGCGGCGTGTAGATTAAGCACGTTAAGTCTAAGCATCTGTGGTCCCTGCTGATGTGCGTGAGGGATTTGAGTTCACGGGAGGCTGGTTCTGTGCCCATGGGACAGGGACAGGGTGTGATGGCTCTTTCCTGTCGTCGGGGGACCCCTTTTCAATAGCGAGCCTTTCCCTGGCGGAGGTCGCGGGCCAGCTGGATCGGGAGACCCTGAGGAGGCTGAAGCGGGAGTGCGGCGGCCTGCAGACGCTGCTGCGGAACAACCACCAGGTAAACTCCCCAAAGCCACCTGCCCCGCCCAGTCCGGCCTCCTCCAGGCCCCAGGTCCCCAGGTGCTTCTGTCACACGTCCTCCTGCACTTGTCACACCCCCCACCCCAGCGAGGCCATGAGTTCCCTGCAGGCGGGGCCGCCGGGCCCCACGGCTATGGTGCTGCAGGGGGAGGCTCAGTGTCCCAGAGGGGGCACACCCACCCAACCCCTCCTCCCGGGGTCTGGCCCATGAGGCACCATCTCGGGGCGAGCTGTCCCGTGTGTGCTGTGCTGGAGGCTGCAGGCCAGGGTGAAGGCCCCTGTCCTGTGCCCAGGACCTGGCGGAGGAGGCTGCCCCCTTTGGGCGGGTCCCACAGCAGGACAGGCGCCTCCGGCGGGGTCTGTGGGAAGGAGGTGATGGGGGCCTTTCCAGAGTGAGGGGGGCTGGGTTGGAGTTTGTCCACGGGTGCTGGCCTGTGCCAGGCCCAGCTGGGTGCACATGCTGGGCCCGAAGGTCTTGGTCTCACTGGGGTAGGTGCTGCCCCTCGGGCTGGGAGGAGCCGGAGGAGGGCCCCTGAGCTGGCTGTCCTGCCCCACTGAGCTGGCTCGCTGCCTGGGATCGCTCTGCGTTTCGCAAGCTCAGTCGGGAGGCTCGCTGCAGCCCTTCTCTGCGTCCCACGCGTTTTTCTGTTTGGTTTCATGAACAGCATCTTTTTTCCGTTACAAGCACGCATGCGTCTGACTGCTGTCATGTGCAGTGTACGCGGGGGGCGCTTTTATTTTTGGAAACGCTTCTGAGTAGGAGGCCGGGGTGGAGTTGGAGCAGGCAGCCGTGCGTCATGCAAGAGCTATGCCTGAGCCGGTCTGTGTGCGGGCTGCTGAGCTGTGCTCTCCATCACGTGTGCGGGTGGAGGCGTCCGCCTGGGTGCCAGGTGCCAGGGCTGTGACACGGAGGGCCGTGCAGGCATGAGGGTGGTGCCACTCCATCCCGGAGCCCCCCTGGCCGGTGCGCACTGGTCAGCACGCAGTCAGGACGCTGTGGCGGGAGCGTGGAGCCGGCGCTGGGGGCGGTCGGCATGCGGGGCTCAGTGCTGCACTCGTGGCCTTGAAAGTGCCCGTGCAGCTCAGACGGGGATGTGCCGAGGCTCTAAGAGGGGCAGCGGGACTGGCAGCCCAGGTCCAGACGGACCAGAGCCCGGGCTCCTGAGCACCGCACGCCCAGCGCTGTCCGCAGTGCCCTCCCGAGGACCTCCAGCCCCACCCTCCGCGCTCGGTTAAGGTGGCGTCTGATCAGAAATGGCGGAGGCGGCGCACGGCAGCTTTTCTGTGCTAGTCAGGCTCAGGGCGCGCACACGAGGGAGGAAACGTCCAGAAATGTCGGGGTCCGTCCGGAGTAGGCCCGTCTTGGGGTGGGGGGCCCGTCTCGGGGTGGGGGACCCGTCCTCGGAGTGGGGGGCGGTTTGCTGGCATCCCGCCAGCCTCAGTGCCCCATCCGCTCCCACTGTCGGCAGCGACCTCTCCCCAGGCCTGGGAAGTCCTGGCTGGCCCTGGTCCTGCAGACCCTGGCGAGGGTCCTCACTGCCCTGAGGCCTGGCCCCTGCAGGCTGCTCCATGCCCGGCCGTGGCCCTGTGACTGCCCCACATTTCTCGCGAGCCTGTCCAGGCCCTGGGGGCACACACACTCGAGGGGTCCCGGCTCCCGTGGGCGGGCAGGTCATGTCGTGCGGCACCGGGAGGTACGCTACGGACACGGTGACGTTGCCTTGACCGGAGCTTTCACGGGAAGAAGGCCACGGTCAGCGTCCTGGGGAGGCCCGAGCACCGGCCCCAGGAGGCACCCCTTGGCGGCAGGAGGGAGTCCCTCTGCCTCCTTGCCTGGGCTCCCCGGGAAGTGTTTAGTGGGCGCCTGTGCAGAGCAAAGTCGAGCTGGAACTCAGTGCCGGTCTCAGGGCCGAGGGCCAGGCTTTCTCAACAGCCCTGCCCCTCCCAGCCCTTCGGGTGCAGCTTCCGGGGACCGGGACTCACTTGGCTGCTTGGCCTCGCTTCGCGCGGCGTTTCTGCTGAGCTCACGGCTCGTGGAGGAAACGGCCACGTGCAAGCTCCCGGGGTCTCGGCTGTGGGGGGTGTAGGGCACCAGCTCAGGAGGTACCCCTGGCGGCACAGAGCCCCCCACCCGCTCCCATCTGCAGCCCCACCCCTGCTGACGGCTGGGAACGGCACCCTCCTTCACCTCGGGGGGGCTCTGGCTGCGGGGCCCTGTGGCTGCCTTCTGCCCTTTGGGAAGGCCCGCCAGCTGCTGCCTGGCTTTCTCCTTTCCATAGGGACGGGTGAGCCTGGAGGACCAGTCCCTGCACGCTATGGCGGTCACACCGCTTACGCCGTCACACCGGGCCTCAGCCTGGTCCCCTGCAAGCCCGTCCCCTGTCCTGCCCCACCGTCCCTTCTCCCATCACCGCGTGAGGTCTCGGCCCTTGTCCCGCTGGGCGCTGGCAGCCGGGCTCTGGGAGCTCTGGGCTCGGTGAGTGGAGGGACTTGCCTGTTGACTTCCGGCTGTGTCTCGGTTCAAACCGCAGTTCTGAACGGGCGAGTGCGCTTTCGAGACTGGAGGGAAGAGAAGCTGCAGGAGGAGAAGCAACCGGAAGCCAAGCGCAGGCTGCTGTCCACAGCGCTCAAAACCCGCCTCTGCTGGTTCTTCTCACACCACCCCGATGGCTGCGCTCTGCCTGCAGACTGCTGCCCCTTTGCCCACGGGCCTGGGGAGCTGCGGCCGCCCCCCGCCTCCAAGAGGAAGAAGCAGCTTCTGTGAGCCTCAGGCTCAGGGCGTCCTGCCCGCTCCTCTGCCCCCTCCTCTGCCCCCAGGGGACCTGCCTCCTCTGCCCCCAGGGGTCCTGCCCTCCTCTGCCCTGCAGTTCCAGGGCTGGCGGTGCTCAAGCCACTTGCCTGCTGATGGGCGGGCATCACGCTCCAGGGACAGAAGCTGGAGCAGCTGAAGGCCCTCGGGCCCCACCCCCACCCAGGTCTGGGCTCGTGTTAACTGAGGGAGCTGACAGGCAGCGCCTTTTGTCCGAGTGTGAGGGTCTTCAGCGTCTTGGGGGTCAGGAGACGGAGGAAGTGCTCGAGCCGGCTCTTCGGGCACCGCCCAGCCCGGGGTCCCCGTGTGTGACGGCAGGGTCACCCGGAAGTGCCCACTGCCCCCGGAGACCCCTGGGGACCAGCGGCCGGGGAGCCGCCCTCTCCTGCCCTGCGGCGTCTTGCCAAGTACGGACACTTCTTTTGACTCCAGGGGAAAGTCCTCACGTGTTTCTATTAAATTATTTTTACAGTTTTACACACAAGTCGCACGGACACTCGTGGCCCTTGATTTTTCCGTGGCACATAGTGCGCGTGTTCTCGGTTCGTTCTGAGTAATGGATAAACTCCCTCCAAGAGGCCCCAGCATCCCCCTACCCCCCGCCCAAGGTCACGGCCAGCCCAGTGTCACATGCTGCCTGCTGCAGCGCAGCGCTGCCCACATGTGGGTGTGCTCGGCCAGATGGTTGCTCCCCTGCTGCCTGGCTATGGCCCGTCCCCAGCACTCGCCAGCTCTGGGCCTGTGGCTCCTGTGGGGGTGGGACCTTGTGCACTCCCTGCAGGTGGTGGTGAGGGGACTGAGCCAGGCACCACTTTTCTTCTCAAGTCACCATTCCATTGTCTGCTGGCCTCTGTTGTTTCTCTTTTTCTTAATGGACTTGAGAGAGAGAAAGAGAGAGAGAGAGACCGATACGGTGTCTACTTACTGTGCACTCATGGGTTGCTGCTTGCATGTTCCTGACCAGAGAGCGAACCCTCAGCCTTGGTGAATCCGGATTGCGCTCTAACCGACTGCGCTGCCGGCCAGGCCTGTAGCCCCCGCTGTTTCTGATGAGAAGTCAGCCCTGGTTTTATTGTGCCCTGTATCAGCGCGTGCTTCTCCTCTGGCAGATGTTAAAACCTTTTTTCATCTTAAGTGTTCGGCAGGTTTTCTGTTGTCTTTTTAAAATATTTTATTTTTATTTTTGTAATATATTATTGACTTCAGAGAGGAAGAGAGAGATAGAAACATCAATAATGAGAGAATCACTGATCAGCTGCCTCCCTCATGTCCCCCACTGGGGATTGAGCCCACAACCCAGGCATGTGCCCCTGACCGGAATCGAACCCGGACCCTTCAGTCCGCAGGCCAACACTCTGTCCCCTGAGCCACACCGGCTAAGGCGAATATCAGCAGTTTTGGTAATGGCATAAGCTGTGTTTTTTTTTACTTGCTTGGGGTTTGTTAAACCTTATAAGTCCCTGGGTTACGGTTTTTTGATCCAATTTGGAAAAATCAGCCAATATTCCATAAATATTTTTTCTGCTCCATTCTCTCTCTGCTCCCAGTTATGTGTACACTAGAGGCCTGGTGCATGAAGTCATGCACCAGTTGGAGTCCCTCGGCCTGGCCCACGGGGATTGGGCCCAAACCGCTTCTCCGACATCCCGAGGGGTCCCGGATTATGAGAGGGCGCAGGCCAGGCCGAGGGACCCCACTGGTGCACGATCGGGGCCGGGAGGGACCGCGGAGGGCTTCAGGGTGTGTCCGGCCCGTCTTGCCCAGTCTCGATTGCCTAGTCACTTGACTGAGCCGCATTTTCTTGTTGCTTCACGTGACTAGGTTTTGTTGCTAGCGTATACTAGGGTCACTGTGTGCTGGAAATTGTGGGCGACGTGCAGAGACTTTAAACTCTCCACTTTTCTGTGCGGGGAGCAGAGTTTCGCTTAGTGCTCGTTTATCGGTGAGCTGCTGTGATTGGACGGAGGCTTGCAGCAGGCATGGGTACGGCAGATCTCTCTCTGTTCTGCCCGGATCCCGATGCCTGATTCCACGCCCCTGCCGTCCTGGGACAGGTCCTTGCCTGACGTGGCAGGACGTGAATTCCACGCTCTCCCTGTGGCTGCCGGCTCTGCTCCGTCCACCGAGGAGTCAGCTGCCAAAACCCCAGAACATTGAGGGACGTCCTGGCGCGGCAGGACCCCGAGGGGGCGCCACGAAGGCATGCACACGCCAGGCTGCAGCCGGGCCTTGGCGCTGTCTGGTGCGCTGGCTGCTGGCTCTGGGCTGGAGGTGTGGCTGTTGCCACCGAGGACTGAGTGTTGAACCTCCTCTCACTAATTTAAACGTCAATAGCCACCTGTGGCTGGTGGCCAACACCAGGGGCCCGGCCCTGCCAAGGCATTGGGTGAGGTAATCAAATGTTGACCAAATAGAGCAGGCTAATTTTTAAGTTGATATTTTACATGGTCGCAAATGATAGAAATATCCAAAGGGCCCGTGGCTGGAAAAGGCTCCCCACCCCCGGGCTGGACAGGGCTCCAGATCATTGCTGCTGGGAGTATTGGCCTCCTCAGGCTGAGCCCCCCCTGGGCCTGCAGGTGTGTGTGGAGGCTGTTCCCTGGGTCTGCAGGTGTGTGTGGAGGCTGTTCCCTGGGCCTGCAGGTGTGTGTGGAGGCTGTTCCCTGGGCCTGCAGGTGTGTGTCGAGGCTGTTTCCCGGGCCGTGCAGGTGTGTGTGGAGGCTGTTTCCCGGGCCGTGCAGGTGTGTGTGGAGGCTGTTTCCCGGGCCGTGCAGGTGTGTGTGGAGGCTGTTTCCCGGGCCGTGCAGGTGTGTGTGGAGGCTGTTTCCCGGGCCGTGCAGGTGTGTGTGGAGGCTGTTTCCCGGGCCGTGCAGGTGTGTGTGGAGGCTGTTTCCCGGGCCGTGCAGGTGTGTGTGGAGGCTGTTTCCCGGGCCGTGCAGGTGTGTGTGGAGGCTGTTTCCCGGGCCGTGCAGGTGTGTGTGGAGGCTGTTTCCCGGGCCGTGCAGGTGTGTGTGGAGGCTGTTTCCCGGGCCGTGCAGGTGTGTGTGGAGGCTGTTTCCCGGGCCGTGCAGGTGTGTGTGGAGGCTGTTTCCCGGGCCGTGCAGGTGTGTGTGGAGGCTGTTTCCCGGGCCGTGCAGGTGTGTGTGGAGGCTGTTCCCTGGGCCTGCAGGTGTGTATGGAGGCTGAGGTTGAGAAAGGGCTGCTCGCGGACCCTATGCACCTCCAAGCTTTTTCCTAGGCCGTTTACTCTTCCGGAAAACACTTCTCCCTCCTGCTTCCCGTTCTGCTCCTCGCCTGTGAGAGAAGCAAGGAAGACCCCAAGGCTCTGTGGCCCTGGAGCGGCAGTGGGTGGTGGGTGGTGGGCAGGCTGAGTTCTCAGGTCTGGTGGAGTCGGGGAGGAGGGGAGCAGGAAGCTCACCCGCCCTCAGCTGCTGGGCTGTCGCCTCTCGGTCTCACCCCCAAGATGGTGTCCTCTTCCTCTCCCTCCCTCTCTTTCCTGATGAGGAATCTGACAGAGGTTAAGGCACTTGCCTTAGGCCACACATGAAGGGCAGCACCAGAGCTGGACCCCAGGGCTGTGTGACAGCGATGGCCCAGGCCTGGGAGACGGGGGTCTCGGGGGTATCACAGCTCCAGGTGGGCTGCCTGCTGGACACTGAGGGGACCAGGCTGCAGGAAGAACTGGGAGTGGGCGGACCAGGGGTCTCCTAAGTCCAGGCACCCCGGGAGGAGACGCTGACCAGATCCTGGGGTGTTGAGCCTCTGTCCTGCTGACACTAATGCAGAGCAGAGCCCGCTCCACATGCAGCACAGCGCCGGCTTAACCTGACTTAACCTCTGGTCCTGGCTCTGTGGTCCTGGCCCCTCCCCCAGCCTGGGGTTCTCTGCCCAGGGCAGGGGGCCCAGCGGGGTTGCACTTCTCCCGAGTCACCTCCCAGGGCCCGCCTGCTGGGCTCGGAGGCTCTGGGGCGGGTTTGGAGCCCTGGGCGCTGTTCTTGGCAGGAATAAACCACAGCTCGGCTCCCTTCGCTCCAAAGGAAAACACTGCGTGGTCAGCCAGGCGTCCGGGCTCTGGGGGACTTGCTGCAGCTGGGGTGGTGCGGGGAGGGGGGCTTGTCAACAGAGCCTTTGCCTCAGGCTGGGCGGAGGGGGCTGCCCTCGGAGCCCACCTAGCACTGGTCCGCCTGGGGAGGGCAGGACTAGGCCCGTGACCACACCCACTTCCAGGCCTGGCCGGAGCCTGGGGGGCCAGATCTTCACAGGCCCCTCCCCCAGCACTGTGTCCCTCCCCCGTCCCCTCCCCGCTGCCTGCCTGGAGCTGCTTTCCCAGGGGCACCGCCTGCTGCGGGGCCCAGCGCTGGCCGCCCCCTGCCCCTCGCCCAGCACAGCAGAGTGACCCGCTCACTGCTGGGAGTGGGACCCAGGCCAGGCCGCAGCTCCCCTGCAGGCTGGCCTCTGAGCACAGGTCTGCTCTGAGGGTGGTCACGAGACCGGTCACCCGGCAGCATGCCCAGCGAGCAGGCGGCCAAGGGGGGCTGGCTGGCTGCCTCCTGAGTTCCATCACCCCCTGTGGGCTCTGGACGGCTCTCTGCCCACCGCCTCCCTCCCTCCCGTTCTTGGCTGGAGCTGGAGTTGGGTTCTGTTACTTTATCCTCCGGTGTGAGGCCGCTGCCCACTCCGCCCACAGCCTGGAGGCAGGGGCCCAGGGTCCCCAGGCTCCTTCACCCCTGCACCCCACACTGTCCCCAGGGATGGGTCCACTAGGAGGCAGAGCCCTAAACCTGCACCCCAACGCCCCTGGGGAGCTGGGGGCATGGACTCGCATCCCAGGCGCTAGCTCGGGATCTGCTGCGTCTGCAGGGGCTGCCTGGCGGCGGGGGGCGGGGCAGCAGCAGCCTGGGCCCCTCCTGGTGACTGGCCACAGAGGTGAGCCTCCAGTGACCCCGAGGGCCCGCCCGATGACCTGTGCAGGCAGAGCCCGGGGGCCTCATGGCTGGCTGGAGGGAAGCCCGTCCCCGTGGCTGTGGCCATGTGTGCACTGACCCTGACCCTGGGCTTGCGGTGGTGTGGACAGCAGCTCTGACGTGCCTCGGGCCCTGTGCCCACAACGCAGTCCCATTTGCCAGCGGGTCCCAACACTGCTGTCACCCAGGGCCGGTGCTCTCCCCACCCCCCAGCCTCGGTTTCCTGGCCTGTGTAGTGGGGGGACAGGTGAGTTCTGAGTCCTGGGCCCACCATCTCTTTGGGGCCCGTTTCCCTCTGGCCCAGCACTACCCCGTCCCCCTCCTGCGTCCCTCATGGCGCTGACGGCCCGGCTGCTAGTGGACCTCTGGGGCCCAGCCAGCCACCCTGAGCCGATCAGGGGCAGCGGGGTTTCCATGGAAACGAGAAAACAGCACTCAGGTAAGTCAGGTTTGTAATCCGAACTCTCCTGAGCAAGGAAGCAGCAATGGGCGTCCGCCCTAACACAGCCCTGAGCACATA